ATCGGAGAGGGTCTGCCCATGCAGACCTAAAAGGGGCACCTTATTCATCAATTTGCATCATTGTTCTTTGGATTTCGGTCACAATAAAAAGAATATATTATCCCTAAGCTGCCACTAACATCATTGTCCCTTGCGTTCTCAGACTTAAAGTAGTCCCTGTGTAGACAAAAGTACAAAAAGGAACAATTTGATTAAAAACAATTCTTGGCCAGGTCAATATTTATTTGCAGATCCTTAAATTTTATTCCTCTTCTTTGGACATGTCAACAGACTCATAATACTTCCTTTCAATCTTCCACTGATTTTGAGAGAGGTAACATAGTGCAAGGCTTCATGCCATGAAGAAAAACTGGAAGGAATAAGGAGAGCAAGAGATTAGCATATTCACCTCCCAGTCATCCCTCACTGGACTTAATTTCTGGCTCTGTGGAGTCCAGGAATGGGCTGGCATTTATTTCCAAGCTTTCACATTCAAGATTTTATAGTGTCAGATCCTGAAATCTGTAGGGCTGCTCACCAGCACTAGAAGATGGGAGGTGTCTCCTGTGGCTGCTCATCCTTGCGTGGGTTGCTTATGGAGAACATCAGCATGGAATGACAGTGTGATAAATTATTAAAGTGATCATAGTGCCTTGATGTGCCATGACCTTGGCTACATTCTTATGTTTTTTGTCTTCTTTCAAAACTTTGAAAGATTTTTTTTTTCCTAAACAGGCTGTTCAGCTCTCAAGTCTTGCTCTAAGGAGAAAAAAGGGAGCTTTTCTCTCTTTTTTGGAAAAAAAAAAAAGTTTTCTTATAGCTATTTAGGAAAGAGAACTAACAATTTACAGTTGTATTTCACCAAAGTGAGTGCCAGCAGGTTTCCAGTATCTGATTAAGCCAGGCGGTTGAACATTCCCCTGGCTGGACCTGGTCTGAGGGGCTGGTGCTGCTGTGCTGAAGTCCAAGGTTGAACCAAAAATGTCACCTGGAGACAGCTAATATTGGGCTCTAGGTCAAAAAACTTCATCTGTGAACCACAGAAAAGATAGAACCAGAACCCAGCAAGAAACTCTTCAAATTGAGTGTTTCACAGGTCCTTAGCATCAGTGAACTGGTCATGCTGATCAGGCTAAATTTCTGAAGAGGGCATTGCATTTTCTTTTATTTCAAAACAAATGAAATAAGGGCCTTATCCAATTTCCCGTACCGTTATCACAGATGGTTTTCTGTTGACTTCAACAGAGCTGGTTAAAGCCCTGTACTCTTATAACCAGTTAATTTTGTGCCATCAGTGGTTTGACGCTTTGTACAGCTGATATCGTGTTGGATGGCCAAAGACCAGGAATTACAGAAGTGTCACAGATGTTAAATCATGGAGTAGATGACAGTGTGCTCGCTATGTCATATGATCCTAGCACAGTTCATGGAATCGTCTATTTTATTATTGCAAGTATCATAAGCGCTGAAAAAATACTGGAAGTAAAATGGCATTTTGCAGCACAATGTATCCAATGTTCTTTATATATATACACATCTGCAATGTGTTAAACTCAGACTCGTGTCCACTGAATCTTGAGGATTTCGGTGGGATGTCTGTATGGAGCAAGGAAAAGAATTGGATCCCAGAATACTGACTGGTTGCACCTTTCAGGAAGCCTTTGTGCTTTAGATTCTAACATGCCAGATTAGTGCATGCCTCCTGTTTTTATGATAATGATTTTTGTATTTGTTAAATATATATTATAAATATAAACATACAAAATTTATTCACTGCATACTTTCAGTGCCTTTATCTCAGGGAATTATTATTTCAGATGTTTGCTTTTCTCTGATGATTTCAGAAAACAGCATAACCGGCTAAATCACGTGTGGCCACACGCTTGCATTTTTGAGCCATGGTATCCAGGATCAAGCAGGAGAGACTCTCTTCACAGGCATCACCAAGGTACCAAAAGTACATCAGCGAAAGTAGCACCAAATGAGATGAAGCAGCTCCTAAATGCCCGTGAGAATCATAGAATCATTATGGTTGGAAAAGACCATTAAGATTGGAAAAGACCTTCAGGGTCATTGAGTTCAAACATAAACCCGTCACCCTCAGGCCTGCTAAACCATGTCCCTAAGTGCCTCATGGACACATTTCTTGGACACTGACAGGCATGATGACTCCAACACCTTCTTGGGCAGCCTGTTTCAAGGTTAAAAAAACTCTTTCCATGCAGAAGATCTTCCTACTATCTAACCTAAACCTCCCCTTGCACAAGTTGAGGCCATTTCCTCTTGCCTTTAGCATATAGGTGCTGTGTCCAGACAGGGAACAAGCTTCTCTGCAGCATTGTTCTTCAGTACTTGTTCAAAAGAAGTGGAAGAGCACCAAAATCAGTGTCTCGTTCTTTATATACAGTGAATGAGTAAGGGAACCTAGTGCTGAGTTAAAAAACATATTGAATCTCCCACTGCGAGATGCCTGGCAGGAATCACTGGGCATGGAAAGTTCCTTGGATATCAGAAGAGTTGGCCAGTCTCTTGTCTGAAGGAACTTGAAATATCTCCAATGCAAGAGCCGTGCTTTGGAAGCTGTACAGCTAGGTCACCTCTATGTCCTTTCCAATGCTCTGGGAGAGTTTTTAGGCAGAATGAAGCCTCAACAAAGCAAAACAAAACAAAAGAGATGTTGAAGGAACCAGTGTGAAAGTACTAGCTGAGTGGAATAACATATGAAAATAAGAGCAGATTTTGTTTGTAAAAGACACAGTTGCACCAGTCTCTACTATCTCAGACACCAGATCACCTGGGAATTCACTCCATGCCCATGAATGCTTACTTGTAAGTGTGGGAGAGGTCTGATGGGCTGAGCGTTCATCCCTTGCTTTCCTGCTTCTTGAAGTGGTGCCAGAGGAATGGGGATTCACAAGTATCTGTGGTCTCTGCACCTCCGGGGCCAATCTCCTGCTCCAGGGAATTACACTTTATTTTCATGTTAAATTCTCAGAAAGGTGGGGAAAACCTTCAGAAAACCTCAGTGAAAAGACCACAGGAGTGGATATGCACAGTATGTTTCCTGCGAGCCAAAGGGCTTTGCATTCATTCTTAAATGCTGTGAGTAGATCACACTTGCTCCATCCACATCGGGCACCTCAGGCTTTTGCATATTTCACAGCAAATTCACGCTGGGCCAGAGTCTGATGTTTGCACTTGTGCAGTGCAATATTATGCTGTGCAAGTAGCACTGTAACTTCTGTGTTAGCAGATGACCTTCAATGGGGCATGAATATTTGTGTATATAATCATGATCTGTGCCTATCTATCTCGTTTTAAGTGTTCTATGGTTCTCTGCCAGGCCTTGTTGCTATTATTCATGTTGACAAATACCTCAGGCCATTAATTTCAATAAGGCCACTCAGAGAGCACAATGCTAAACAATAAATGAGAACACAATCTGGCTCGCTATGATCGCGTGATTGAAGTTTTACTGCTGAGCACTGCGTAGCCTGCCCAGCTTACTCGATTTAACAGGTGTCTTGTTGGTGTTTGAATTGTTTGCATATGATTAAAATGCATCCTGAGGTGGGGAAGCAATTTGTTAGAAAGTCTTTCTGTTGTTTGGAGAATATACGGTGAACAAAAACAAAATTTACATTGCAAAGACTTGACCCTTATTTTCCAGGACTATAAAATAAAAACTCAAACCCAGCACTTTCTGCATCTGGTTGACATTTGAATAAAACTGCCAGAGCGCAAACAAGTTTTCAGACAACATCTCCAGCAAACTCTGCAGTGACTCAAAAAAAGAAAAAAATTGGCCAGTTTGCTTTTTAAGGCCATATGTTCAAAAAAAACAAAACCTTGAACTTCACTAGAATTTATTGCAAGAAGAGAACTGCCAAACTACCTAAGACATTTGGGCAGATTATAGTGAAGAAGTGTGTTGGTTGCTGACTTGACGATTTTCTATGCTTACTGCATGCGTGCTGGATTCCTGATATTCGCAGTGAGAGGAGATCCAGCTTTCTAGTGCGTTTTAGCAAGAGACCTGCCAAACGTCTACTGGCTTATTAAGTGTTGGCAAACCAAAGGTCAGTCTTGTTTATGAGCCACAGCAGAGCTACTACAGATAGCACGCATGCCCTCCTAGGGGTATTTTCCCCATTTAAATGCAGAGCTCCAGCACAGGATTGGGTGAGGATGGCTTTGGAATGGACCTGTCCCAGGCTCTAAACCTGCCCCAATGTCCTCTGGTCCCAGACTCTGTGGCGGCTCAAGAGGCAGCTCTTCCTTTGCCTGCCCTGTATCCCTGGGACACTTTCCGTGGACTTCTCCGGTCTTCAGCGGAGCTGGCAGCCCTGTCTTTGCCGCCTTTGGTTTCTAAACTGTTTCACACAACGGAAGATTATCTCGGCGTAACGTACAAGCCTCCCTATAAAAGCTAACCCTTGCCCCCCTTGAGAAAGTAAACATTTCTACAAAGGCAGTGGAACTGCTCTCAGAGTCCATAAAATTTGCTTTCCACATTATACCATAGAGAACACTTTGCTGTTGACGGTTCTTGCATATGTATTATACATATCTACAGTACCTTTTTTCCCTTTTTGACAGAAAGTTCCTCTTCTGACTTTGTGCATAAAGTGCCAAGAAAAGCTGCGTTAAACAACTAACGCTTGCATGTTTAAAATGCTTCAACATGCAACGCTTTGAGAAAGATAATCATGCGGAAACAATAATAATTTAAAAAACTAAAAACAAACAAAGAATCCAGATTGCCACCTTGCTATCTATAGATGTTGTTTGCAAGATATAGAAGGAGCCGGATGCAGGAAAAAAAAAAAACTTTTTTTTTTTCCCCCCCACGAGGGGAAAAATGCGTTATACTGCATAACACGGGAGAAGAAGAAAATTGTTGTTGTTGTTCTTGTTCTTATTATTATTTCGTTGTTGAAGCGCCCCGGAAGGCTGCACATGGGAGCAGAGCCCTCCGACGCGACCCGGCCCTCGGATATAACGCGGTGAGGGGCCGGGGGATGCAGGATCGAGGAAGAGGGCCAGTTAATCTCGGGTTAACGGGGACCATCGGTGGCCAAACGAGCGTCCCGGGCCCGCGTTTGGCAGCGCGATGTGCGGCGCAGAAGGAGGAGGAAGAGGAGGAGGAGGAGGCGAGGAGCGGCCTCCGCGGCACCTGCGCGCTCGGCCCTCCCACAAGAAGTGCAAAGCGGGTCCCGGCCATCGCTTCCAAAATCCGACACCGCTCGGAGTCTCTAAAAGGATCAAGTAGTGATTTTTTATTTTACTAATCCCCTTTTATTATTTTAACCATTTTATCTATTTTAACTATTTTTTTTTTTACTTTTTGTATCATTTTAATCATTTTTTTACCTCGTTCCTGCCAGGCGGCCAGGGAGGAAATGTCCCTGCTACACGGCGAGACTCCGTCTCTCCTCCCCGCCCACGCGCGGGGCGACCCACGGGCAAGGAGCAGAGGCCGGGGAGGGGACCTGTCTCTGCAGGCAGCGCTTCGGGAAAGGGAAAATAATAAATAAATTTATTAAAAGGGCTGGAAGGGAGCGGGAATGCCCGGCAGAAATGTAGTGCGAACCAAAGAAGAAGAAGGAGAAGAAAAAAAAAGTTACACAAACACGCTTTAAGATCGTGGCTGGACTTCACAGTTCCCCGTGGATAAAGTAAACAGGAGGCGAACTGTTTTGTAATTCACTCCCGCGGCCCGCAAAATCTTTCCTTGCAATTCGGTGTCGGTTTACAGGCGGGAGGGACTCCTGTTTCCTAACCTAGCAGGTCCCTTGTCGCGCCCGTGCCTTTCAAGAGGGACCCGCGGGGGAAAGTGGAATTCCTTGGGTATTTGCCTTTTAGTCATGCTTATAAGTCAAACAGTAGCCAGGGTCTCTTTTGGGATGAATAATACCTGCCATGCGGGGATGCACTTTCCCTTCCAGCCTCGTCCTGCCCGTCGAAAGGCGGGAGCGGCTTCTCCGCAGCCCCACATCCCACAGAAAAAAAAAAAAAAAACACAGTTAATTTCACTTTTAGTTTCTTTAAAAAATATTCTTATTATTTTTCTTTTCCCTGCCTCGCCGCGCCGTCCTCTGATCACTCAAAACCCGTTTTCTTCTTTATTTTCCGCCTCTTCTTCTTTTTGTCATGCCAGGCCCCGGTGTGTTTATTGTATACACGATAAGTATTTATTGCTCGCACAAATCTCTCGGGAAAGTGCAATAACATATCATCTATTGTCAGAGGATCGCGTCGCCAGCGTATCCCACAAATCGTTGGCTTTCTTATTGACGGTGGATTTGACGCATTCCTTCAGCGAGTTTTTTTTTTTTAATATTATTATGTAATTTATTTCTTTCCTGGCAATACTTCCCTGAAATTTGCTTGTTCTCCCTTTGTCCGAAGCTGACAGCCGTCGAGGTATATTTTAGCCGCTTTTTTCCCCCCCTTTTTTTTGGGGGGGGGATCTCCTTCTTTTACCTGTTTTACAGTGCGCTCCCGCACTCCACTGGCACAGCCGCGGCTCCCGGCATGACAACTTCCATCATTCTTCGTTTATTTTATGTTTTTAAACGTTTTCAATTATTATTTTTCATTTCCCCGGCATTCCCCCAATTCCCGAGCAGCAGCCTTAGTCAGGAAACAGGAGCAAAAAAGAAAAAAAAAAGCTTATCAGCTCAGGTGCCCTGTGCGAAATACCGCTAAGGGAGGGAAATGCTAATAAATAAATAAATAAATAAAAAGAACAAACGAATATCGTGCCTCGCCTCAATTGTTGAAAGCGAAGCTGTTCCGTTTTGTTTCCCGACTCGATACTGATAATAATGATACTGATAATAATGATAATAATAATAAAGAATAACGATTACGGAAGAGCTCCTTGCGCTCCGAGAGGAGAGCGCTGCCTTTGCTGCTCTCCCACCCGCCCCGCGGGACGGGGCTTCCCCGCGAACTTGCGACCTCCACGCGCAGGAGAGCTCCCCGAAAACGCCTCATTTTCCTTTTCCCGCCCTCGTTTCCACCCTACGCTGAGGAGCGCGCGGGCAGCGCCCG